GTGCTCGTAATAACGCAAACACACAGTGTGGCCGATACACTACCATTAAGAATTCACCCTGTCTCTCGACTGGTTCGTGCATGCCACCCTGCCGCAGGAAACCCACGCACAGGTGGCACGCACGCTCGCATTCCGATGATGCGATCCGGCAGGCCTGCTTTAATTTTCATATGATTATGTTTTATACAATTGACTGGGACTATTTTCATCGATGTCGATTTTCTTTAACAATAATTAGAAATTGCTCAAATTATTCAAAAATTATTTAGTTTTAAAATTGAAACTAAAATGGAATACACGTTAATAATATATGAGAATACATAAGGTATAATATACATGTTAATTTCATCAGTATTAGAAAAATAATTATAAGCATTTAAAAATATAAAAACTTTGATTTAGCAAAATTTATAAATCAAATTGAACGTAAATGTTATATTACGTTATTTATTTATATAAATTTAAAGCATATACTAAAAATTCTCCAATTTCTCTAATTATAAATACACTTTTACGTTAACCTGAACACAAGTTCAGACTATATCTTGTCTCATATGTCGTTCATCATGATGAGCGATTCTTTGCACAGCAGGCTATTGACTTTTTATACAAGATACGTTATTCGGTTTCTTTGAGACTGTTCGTCGTTTAGGCGGTTTATTGAGAAACTCTTGATTTCTCCGTAATCTAGGTCCCCCAGACAAGCGAGGACCTTTTTCTCACCGACTACGGTTGATTAGATACCGTATTCAATTGCAAAAAGCAAGTTGATTATATACTTACGTAAATTCACTATGCAATATATCAGACTTGAACTTCGACATTGAAAAGAACTTTAAAAAGCTTCTTGATTAATTCCCCCCTTTTTCAATTTATAAGAAAATTATTTAAAAATTATATACTTCAACGAATCATGAACATAAACTATAAAATTATTATACATTAGATCATAGATGGTTAGTTATAAGATTATTAATTAGCTTTAAACATAAATCTTAAAAATTAAGAAAATTTTAAGTTAGATTCAAATACGTAATAGCACCAAGAAATGATTTTTTCAAATAATAGGTACATTTAAGAAAAAAAATTATTTTAGACGAATGTGGGTCCCATATTGGTCTGCGTAAATCCTTACACCGATGTCGGAAATCCGTTAACCTTAACGAGCACCAGGTCCGTACTATTAGCACCTCAGTTGAACAAGGTCGTCCAGGAAGCCGTGAGACAGCAATCGGAGACCGGGTATCCGCAGGCGATTATTCTTTCTGGTAAGACTCTTAACAGACTCCACCTTTCTTCGTTCTTCAAGAATGAAAATTTCTGGAACTTCTTCTTCAGGGACCAGCGGTTCCGGAAAAACCTACGCTTCAATGCTGTTACTTAGGCAACTCTTCGACGTTGCCGGCGGCGGACCGGAAACGGACGCTTTCAAACACCTTGCGGCTGCCTTCACAGTCCTCAGATCCTTGGGCTCAGCGAAAACCGCTACGAACTCGGAGAGTTCAAGGATAGTAAGCAATTTACTTCAAATTGTATGAGATAGAAGAAGATAAAGAGAAAGAGGAAGAGAAGGAAAAGGAAGAACTACTAGTTTTATAATCTTTTGAAAAGAGATAAATTGTAAAAATAGTAATCAGTGTTAAAATTAGAACTAGTGTGAATAATAATGTGATAAATAGCAGTAAATATAATGTATATGTAACAAGAACTAGATTCTTTAATTAATAATAATTAATTAGATATTAGAATAATTTGATTGATTTTTAGGGTCACTTCATTGAAGTTCAAGTGACAGATGGTGCTTTATATAGAACGAAAATTCATTGTTATTTCCTAGACCAGACAAGAGTGATCAGACCACTGTCAGATGAAAAGAATTATCACATATTTTATCAGATGTTGGCTGGATTATCGCACGATGAGCGAGGTAATATAATTATCAATTATAATAATCACATTATTATAACAAAAACGACTAATAATTCTCATTACTAAGAGATCAATTACCCAAATGACTTTTGCAGTTAAATTAAATTTGGAAGGATATAATCTCAAAAATTTGAGGTATCTTCAACATGGTGACACGCGGCAGGATGAAGCTGAAGATGCCATTCGATTTCAAGCGTGGAAAGCTTGTTTAGGTACATGACATGAACATGGAAGTAATAAAATAAAAATTTAATCTTAATTATACTTAATAAACTTGCAAATCCTTTTCTAATGCAATGATTAAATAATATCAAATTTAATAATTTTTCTTTTTGTTTCTTATATTGATCAAATTTTTTACAAAAAAAGAGTCAGTCAGTCTGACGTTTCATTCTTTATTTTTCTCCAGGTGTTTTAGGCATTCCATTTTTGGACGTCGTAAGAGTACTGGCAGCGGTGCTCATCCTCGGGAACGTCGGTTTCACAGATGGTCCCGGTGTGGAAGTAGGCGTAATTGGCGAGAACGAATTATCCTCTGTAGCTGCACTCCTGGGAGTTCCCCCGCCAGCTTTGTTACGAGGGCTCACCTCGAGGACTCACAATGCGCGCGGCCAGCTCGTTAAATCCGTCTGTGATGCCAACATGGTACTGTTAGATTTTCTTTATAAGATGAAACAGTAATAATAATAATAATAATGTTCCTGTTCTTGTATTTCATTGTGAAATAATATTTGCGAATCGACTCTTTGCTCTTGAAATTCCTAACATGTCACAAATTTTGACGTCAAACTTAAAATATTTCATTTCTTTAATTTTATAATGAATCTTGATGTTTCTACGAGCAGATAATATTTGCGCGTACAGATTATTGATCTTATACTTTTGAAACATTAAGCTCATCGTTGAGATCTTTTTGAATTAACTTCTATTTTAACTTTGAGATCTTAATAGACTGCAGTATTATTTATGTTGGACTTTGCATATATGAATTTTATTATAAAAATCCTTCATCTAATAAATGCCAAATTATAAAATAAATCGCTAATGTACTTGAAAATATTTGATTATCTGATTAAGCTCTTTATTTGTAGAATATTTAGAATGTTGAATTTTTCTAATCATTTTTCTAATTGATTTTATTTACTGTATTATTCATCAAAATACATACAAACAAAAGAAGATACATAAAAAGATTATATACACTTTCTATATTATAAGTTTATTTTTAATTAGATAATAAAAAAGATTAAATGCATTAAATTACTCAATATTATATAATTAAACATTATCTTATGACATTGAAAACATATTGAAGAGTATTTGTTTATACAGTCTAACATGACCAGGGATTCACTGGCAAAAGCACTTTATTGCCGTACTGTGGCTACAATAGTAAGACGTGCTAACAGTTTGAAGAGACTTGGTTCTACTCTCGGCACTCTTTCATCAGATTCCAATGAATCTGTTCATAATCAAGCAGATGTTACTAGCCAACACGCCTCTACCATTGGCAGTTCAGCAGGTCCTTGTTATGACAATTCTTACATCGTATTTAACATTACTTTATTATAATTTAATAGTTTGCAAATAATACATTAACTAATTATAATTACGTAACTAAATAATCTTTTCACGCTATTATTAAATAAAAATCAGTTGCTATTATAATTAAGAATTAAAGAATTAATTTAAAAAATTAACTTTAAGAAGCTTATATTTATTTATATTTATTTGTTTATATGTTATATTTTTCTCAATATTTACATATCATTTTAAAAATATGACATAATTTTTTTTTTCTTAATGCGATGTAAAAGTATCGAAAGTATTAAAGTGAAAGACTTTTTTGGAACAGGAGGAACAGGCTCCAGAAGCATGACTGCTCTGAATAACGCCGTACGACACGCCACGGATGGTTTCATCGGCATCCTGGACATGTTCGGGTTTGAGGATCCTAAGCCAAGCCAGCTAGAGCACCTCTGCATCAATCTTTGCGCGGAGACGATGCAGCACTTCTACAACACTCACATATTCAAGAGCTCTATCGAGAGTTGCCGCGACGAAGGCATCCGGTGCGACGTCGAAGTTGACTATGTCGACAACGTGCCATGCATTGATCTCATTTCTTCCTTGGTAAGCTCTTTGTATCGAAGGTACAATCCAGCTTGTTTACAATTGTTGCTTATTTAAATAACTCTCGTTTTGAACGAATGAAATTATTAAGTAATATAAATAATTATTATTTCCTTTTCATTTTGTCTTTTTGCATACCTTTTTTATATTGCATTTATATGAAAAATAATTAATATTAATAAATTAGAAAATTTCAAATTATTCCAATTGTTATATTTATAAAATATAAAAATATCATAATATTACAAAATAAAAATAAAATAAAATAAAATTTTTTTCCTTTTGCTTATGTCCTTTATATTAAGTTATTTTTATTAGATATATTTATTTTAATTTTACCAGCGTACCGGATTATTGAGTATGTTAGATGTAGAAGGTTCTATACATGGAACCGCAGAAAGTTACGTCGCCAAAGTGAAGGTGCAACACAAGCAAAATCCTCGGTTATTCGAACCAAGAACTGTCGACTGTAGATCCTTCGGTATTCAGCACTTTGCAGGAAGAGTCACCTACGACACTTCGGACTTCTTGGGTACATAGAACTTCTCTTATGCATTTCGTAATTATTCAAAATATATTATCAAGTTTATATTCTAATTAATAATTAGAATAATAATAACAGTAATAATATCACTTTAAATGCAATATTAAGTATTAATGACCATAATTAATAATATATATAGATTCCTCTTTATAATAATTAAATATTTATTCGTCCTATTTTTAAAGATACAAATAAAGACGTTGTGCCTGATGATCTGGTGGCAGTCTTTTACAAGCATACTTGCAGTTTTGGATTTGCAACGCATTTATTTGGTAGCGAATTGAAAGCATTATACGCGAGCGATACCGTACCAAGAGGCGTCAGTTTTCGGATATCACCGACTTCTCATACCGATCTGTAAGTAATCAACGATGTGACACTAAACTTATATTAATTGAATTTATGTAACTTTGATTTAATATTATTAATAATTTCCAGTTTAAAATGAAGAGCTCGTGAATTTATTTTATATCTGATTTCAAATAATTCATTTCCTTTCTCTGCAAATTTTAATTGCTAATATAATTGTTAAAACGTTTTTACTAGTGACAAGCTTGAAATACAAACACAGCTTTTATAATAAATTATTGAATAATATTTATTAGTAAGTTTTTATTAGTGAGTGATCATAATTTGTCCGTAAAATTTAAAAGGCATATGTGAAATAAAAGTGCTCTTTGCAGTTTGAATGGAGACGAGCCAATATCGACGTTGACTCAGGACTTTCATACGAGGTTAGATAATCTCCTGAGGACTCTTGTCCATGCTAGACCGCACTTCGTCAGATGCATCCGTAGCAATAGCACCGAGACGCCGATGCACCTCGACAGGGGAGTTACTATGCGCCAGATACGTTCGTTACAAGTCCTAGAAACAGTAAATCTCATGGCAGGAGGTAAGACATTGAAACTCTAATTAATTAAAAAAATCTAAGTTTAAAAAAAAATCTGTGTTAAGCAACATAAAAATAAAGTAAAAAAAAAAAAAAACACAATTAAAGAAAATTAATAAAGACGACAAACAAGTCATTTAA